TATATATATATATATATATATAGTTTAGTTATTTAGGCCATCAGTTCACAAGCTGCTATTAGCATGCTGGATTGAAAAAAGAGAAACAAAAAAGAAACACATTTTTCATTTTCAGTATCTACACAATTTAGAGAAGCTGTATCAATCCCTGATCCTTGGTTTTAGCATCAGAGAAATAAATCACAGCTATAGTGAGACTGTGATGAAGATAATGTGATTTAAGTACCTACCAGCAAGCCTGAGACATGCTCAGTAGATGCTCAATGATATCAGCTCCTTTCCCTAATGAAAAAAGCTAATATATTCCAATGCCTTCTGTTAAGCAATTTATGCACACGTGAGTATGAGTTTGTATGCATCTGCACATGTGCCTGTGTGATTTGGGGTTGGGTCACTCTGGTGCTTCTATTCATATGATTCTAAGCTTAATATTTAGTCCAGGATGAAAAGTCAGTTAAAATAGATTTCTTGGTATCATACAAATAGACTTTTAGTGTATTTCCTATAGATATTTGCTTGCATTTGCTTACTCATACAGGGACAGGATAAGAATGTCTTCCTGGAGGAGATGAGGCCAGTTTTCTCAAAAGCATATTCTGCTCTGATGCTCTAGATAGCAGTCTCCATGTAGCAGCATTTTAAAACTGAAGTTTCCAACAGAGAAATGATGTATTCTTCATAAAGAAGGTGGGGAGGGGTCATTGTCATTAGCAATTAGGTCTCAAAAAAAATCCATGAAATAGGAATATTGGCTGGAGTGAGGATGATGCCAGTCTATGGGGCACCCAGGACTTTTTGACTGTGTCATCAAAAATGAAATATTACTGAACCATCACCAAGGAGATACACTTGGAGATGCTGATTGACCAAATACCAGTAGGTGAGTCATCTGGAAGGAATTAAAGTAGGATCTTGACACTATGTCTTGGACAGATTCACATTCATACCTCTCTCATAATCACAGGAATAGAATAGCAGGTCTAAGTCATACCTAGAAAAATATATCAATAATGAGATGAAATCAGTTTTAGCTCTATTGAAAGTAAAGCCGACAGACTTTTGCATTGTTTTGACTTAAAATCTGTAAACAAAATATCACTAGCATAAAAACAACAACAACAACAACAACAACAACAACAACAACAATCTTCCAAATCTACAAATGACAAGCAGGTGGGAAGGAAAGGTGGTTGCAGACAAATTAAAAGTCCATAGACTACAATGCTCTGTGGGGAGTCTTCATCTGGAAGTGTAATAGTCAGACTCTGGCTGACTTATAACAGCAACAAAGCTCTTGAGCATGCTTCAAACTTTTTAAGCTAGATTGACTAGAAGGATTCGCTTGACATGGCTCAGTAGTTTATACACAAAGAATGCTCAAAAAGGATTTTCTTCCTTAAAAATTTTAGAGAAAGAGTAAAACCTTATTTTAAATACTCACTCTTGTCCTGTCTCTGCATTTCAATATTACTCACACATTAGTTTGTATCTTCATAGTTATTTAATAGATTTCTCCTGTCTCACCCATCATTTAGGAGTTTCAAAGAGTTGGTTCAGAGTCGGATTCATCTAAAAATGAAATCTACATGTCTTCCCAACTTGTAATTCCAGCTATATTGAGGTTTATTTTCCATTAAAGTTGAATGATGACATCTACTTTATAAGACATAAGAATCTTCCAGGGGATGAAAGGTGCAGCATAGGGAAGATAGTCGATCCTATTGTAATAGTGTTGTACGGGGACAGATGGTAGCTACATTTCTGGTGAGCACAGCATAACATACCCAGCTGTCAAATCACTATGTTTTACACCTGAAACTAATGTAACACTGTGTGCCAGCTGTACTTGAATTAAAAAAAAATCATCTCAGAATTTTATAAGCATTATGACATTTGTTTTTGTTTTTCATATAGTGAACGTATTTGTCTGAAATCTCATTTTTACTCAATAAACAATTTTTTTCTATTTTCCCCTGTAGTTTCAGAGATGCATGAAATAGCACTGTACTTTGTTAAAATGAAATGTTAAATGCAAACATTTAAACACTTACATGTTGCAAATTACCAAATGGACAAGTAATTTGGGGGAGTTTGAGAAATTACATTTATTATGAATAATGTTAAATCGATGTCTAGATTTTATCTAAACTTCGCAGCCCCAGGAAATATAGTGAGTTTCTCAAATTAAATGGAAAGAGCTTCACTGTCAGTTTCTACCATTTGGCTCTTTCACAAATCTGCTTCATTTTTTTGTGAAACATTCTTGTGATACTAGAAGGAAAATATGAATCATGTGTTAAAGTATCTTGGGCCAGGATTTATTAGAACATTGGCAAAGACTTTATCTGCTCTGTCTTCACGTACAAGTATTGGCTGTTTCCTCTTGGGCTGATAACGGCACAGATTCTCATTTACTTTGTGGTCCATTTTCTTCTTATTCATGAATCAGCTTTGATTAAAGGTTATTTCAGAAGCCAAGCAGGTATCATCAAAAGACACTTTTGTGGCAGACAAGTAAGTGTCAGTGACAGTGATATCATCAAGCTCTGTGCTGAAATGATCTGACTCCTTGATGACACTGTAATTTAGGGCCACACTGTAGTTAGCGGGTTTCTCCACTGGCTTCTGCTTGCAGTTGCAGAGCTTTCTGAAGGCTGCACGGAATTTCTGGGACATGAGATTATAAATCACTGGGTTGATGGCACTGTTGAGATAAATGCAAATTCTGCAAAAGAGCAAGAACCAATTTTCTTGGAAAGGGCTGGAGAGAAACGAGTTGACAACGACAAGAGTCCTGTAGGGCATCCATAAAAGGGCAAACAGAATTACAACCACTGCCAGCATCTTGGTGACCTATGGAGAAATAAAGAGAAATGCACTGCAAACACAAATGAAAATAGAACAAACAAATGAAAATAAAAACAACTCCCTCCCCCCACCCTCCTGCAATTAGTTCCCAAGATGTAGTCTGAGACAAGGACTTAAATGCAGGTGGTTTATTTGTGAGATCATCCCAGGAAACGGGATTAAGGGTAAAAAAAGAATGTGATGGAAGAGGAAAGCTAAGATGGGGTGATGGCTCCCACTGTGCATTTCAGGATTATCTGTCCAGGGAAAGAGAGGCCCTGGCATCTGTCCACTGGCTGCCATCTTCCTTTTGTTGAGGAGTGCCCTTAGGGGCTTTAACTGGTCCATACATTCAGAATTCTCCTGCTTGGAAACTCCTGGGGGCTTAGAAAGAAACTTGAGGCAGAGAAGCTAGACAGGGGACAGTGAACACCAGAAACAGGATGCTCTCTGCAAATAGGAACCATCCACTATAACAATGGCTGCAATCAGAGTCCAGCTGAGAGAATGTGACACAGGCCACCATAAATGTCTGTGACAAGTGTTGGGAAACCTAGGGCCTAATCCCATCTTTACTTACCTTATATATGGCCCTGAGAAATGATTTTAACCTTATAGCTTGTCTGCAAAATGGAGCCAGTATTGCTGCCTTAAATCCAAGGAGGAACGTAATAGTTTGAAAAGGAGAAAATGTCTTTTTAGAAAGCCAATGGTTATTGAATGTCTACTATGTGCCAGACACTAGACTAACTGCTTTGCATATGTCACTACATTTAAAAAGCTGAAAACACAGGGTGCCTTGGTGGTGCAGTCAGTTAAGCCTCTGACTCTTGATTGTGGCTCACGTCATGAACTCACAATCATGGGATTGAGTCCTGTGTTGGGCTCCCCACTGGGTATGGAGTCTGCTTAAGATTCTCTCTCCCATGCTTGCTCACGCACATGCTTTCTCTCTCTCAAAAACAAACAAAAAACCCACATTTAAAAAAAGAGCTGAAAACCTTCCAAAATATGTATGGCATCTTCCATTTTTCAAGTTAGAAAACTAACGTGTAGGTGCTGGTGAGTACTTTGGCAGAAATGGCAGAGTCTTAGAGTTGGGATCAGAATCTAAGTCAGCCCAGATCCAAAGTTTTGCCCTTCTCAATGCACAACTTTCCTTCAGCGTAAAGGGACATGCAAGATGGAGAAAATAAACTTTGAAATTTTACGTGGAGCTGACCCTACTCCTAAGAACAGCAATGCACAGGAGCTAGAACAATAGGTAGGATGGACTTGATATCCAAGATTGCCCAGGGACAAGATTACCAAAGAGCATCGTTTAGAAGATTCTTCTCTCACCTTCATGCTCGGTGAGCAGCTGGGGCTTGACCTGGACCCAGAGTTAGGTCATTTGGCTTTGTCTATATTAAGTGGTTTTAAGACCTTAATGAAATCATTCATATGTACTTCCATTTCTCTATCTGAAAATGTGCCTGATCATAGTGTTTCACTTACGTCATAGAGATATTGAGAAAATAAAATTTAAAAATAATGAACATGTTCAGGGCTTTGGAACTCTAAACCACTATGAAAATGCTATCCTTTGATTAGTGACAGTATAAAGAGGACACAATATTTCAATTCTGTGAAGGGCATATTAAAATTGTAGCTGTGGTTATCTTTTGGGTGGGGAAGGTAATTGATTGCTCTTCTTCTAAAGCAACACTTTACACATTTAAAAATAAGTTTTCAGGGGTGCCTGGCTGGCTCAGTTGGTGAAGCATGTGACTGATGATTTCGAGGTTGTAGATTTGAGCCCCATGTTGGGTGTAGAGATTACTGAAAAATAAGAAAAATCTTTAAATAAATAAATAAGTACATACATACATAATTTTCAGTTATTTTTAGTCTCTCACAGAGTTTGAGAATTTTCAGCTTCCTTGGCCCAGACCTTCTAGATGTTCTGAGGTTGAAAACTACCCCAAATGGAAGGAACTGATTCTTCCCTCCTCATCCCTCCAGACTTCCCAGCTGTTTTACTGAAGTTAATACCAGCAGCCTCTATCTTGTTCTGGCATCGAGGGGAATCCTGTTTTCAGAGAGGGCTTTTTAAAGTTCTTTAGTGTAGAAATAAATATTCCGCATCTAGACATCTACTCTGTCATCAGTATCTACTATAAATTCATCTCCCTACCTTGTAATAGAATCTATACCTGGTAATAGAATCCATCAGGGTCTCCTGAGTTGGAATACCTCCTTTTATCTCTAGCACTTAAAAAAATTTTTTTTAACATTTATTCATTTTTGAAAGAGAGAGACAGAGTGTGAATGGGGAAGGGGCAGAGAGGGAGACACAGAATTCAAAGCAGGCTCCAGGCTCCAAGCTGTCAGCACAGAGCCCGAAGTGAGGCTAGAACTCACAGACCATAAGATCATGATCTGAGCCGAAGTCGGCCCCCCAACCGACTGAGCCACCCAGGTGCCCCATCCCTAGCACTTTTAACCTTCTGACACTGGGGCTCTGTTTCACTCTTAGCCATATCTCGTTTGCCTCAGCTAGGAATTCCCCTTGCATCCTACATTGTGGAAGTAGATACTTTCTTGCTGTTGTTCTTTCCAGATCTATAGCAACTGTCTCTTTCCTTGACTCTCCAAATATAATCTATGGCTACAAATAGCCTTTGTCTTTCTTTCTTTCTTTCTTTCTTTCTTTCTTTCTTTCTTTCTTTCTTTCTTTCTTTCTTTCTTTCTTTCTTTCAACCATTACAATCTCTTTTTGAACAACTCCTACTACTTCCTTGCAGTGATATCTATGAGCTATCCACCTCCTCTCAGGTTCCTGTTTCCTCCCTTCTAGGGCCATCTTATCACTTTCTTGAAGCTCTCCCTGCCCTCCAAGAATGGTCCCATGTCCCCTCTTCTGCTTCACTCATTGTACCCTGAGCTTCTCTTCAGACTCAGTGCACAGAGTTAACACTTCATATTTTGCTCGCTGTGGGTAGAGAAGTTGTTCCATGAGATGGTGTAATTTTCACATTGGTAAGAAGGATTTACTCAGTCAAGAGGTTAACTGAAGCCTAATGTTTTTCTAAGAAGATTTTTAAGATTATAAGTAAATACTTTAATTGGTCCTAGGAAATCACTTAATCCAGTGATTAAGTATTCTGCGCTTCAGAGGGAGCTACAGTAATTATCATCTTTGTCATCATCATCCCTGCCTTTGTCTTCTCTCTAGTACTCCAGGTTCTCTGACATCAGGTCACTGCTTCACACTCATTAACATCTTCCCACTCCTTGCCAAGGACTCAGCATTGGATATTTGAATCTGTGCTTCCTGAACGATGAGATTGGTACCATCACATTTAAGTTCTTTATGATGGCTCATCATAAAGGTACGTAAACATTATCTTATTTAATGCTTATAATAACTCCATGTGTAAGCTAGTGTTCGCTCCATTTTGCATATTGGGAAACTGGTGTTTAAAGAATCTGTGTGATTTGTCTAAGGACACTACATGAGTAGTGAGTGACAAAGTTGTGACTCAACCTAAGTCTACTTAAACCAAAACCCACGCTCCTTCCTTTATACTTTGCGCTCTCTCTCTCTCTCTCTCTCTCTCTGAAAGTCTTTTGCATTTCCAACTATGAGATTTCTACTGGGTTATCCCCATTCTGGTCACTTAAACCTTTAACTTCTTCTAAGTATAAATCCAACATACTTATTGCTGTTAAATTTCCAACTTAAAGGTTGAATTTCATCTGCCTTTGTGTTTTTCTCTACAATTGTCAGGTGAAACATTGAACCCACATTTAATAACTACCTACCTGTTTTCACTTAATGTCACTGAGGGAGCATTGTTTTTAAGAAAAGCAACATGTTTCAAGGTTAATATTTCTGCCATATGCTTCCACAGTTCCCCAGGAAAACTTTGACATCACTACCAAAACTTTTTATTGCAATGAGCTATATCTGTCCACTTCTCCAATATATGGTAATCTTCTTCAGGGCATGGGTAAGTTTATTAATTTCTTTGTCCTCAGGGATTTAGTACAGTGTGTGACATAAGATAGCCCCCAGTAAATGCTGAATAAATTCAGGCATGGAAAGAATTATTTCAAAATATAGCCATGATCCTTTTCTGGATTGTAATTCTCTAACATATTATTAGGGGATTTTTGCAAACATTTGACTTTGTAATATTAAAAAATCTGTTTTAAGTGGAGATTGGTTAATTAATAAAATGAGTTCTAAATACATTTCAGTTTTTGTTGAAATAAATATATTTTTAAAAATATAAGGAAGTGTGGAGTGAAATATGTTTCTAAAATTGATGAAGTGGAGGGGCGCCTGGGTGGCGCAGTCGGTTAAGCGTCCG